AGAGAAACAAAATGACCATTTTTCACGGACAAACTTCTAGCTGTAGGTGCAACTTTAATAGCAAAGTTGTGAAGGAGAAAGAAGGGAGAGAGGGGGAAAAAGGCCATTTTTACCACTTTTACCCTCCTCCCTACCAAAAGGATATTTTTATTTGCTTTCTAACACACTCAATTTCCTAAATTTGTTTTGAATCCAATTATTTGGGGTGGTTGAAAGTACCGTGCTCTTGTTGGACGGAAATTAGCAGCGATTGAAATTAACTTTTTATGTGACCTGTGAAAGGGGCTAAAATAATTACAAGTGTAGAAGAAATCCTCCTTCCAGGAGACCCTCGCTGTAGGAGTGGGCTGCGATACTGTTCTCAGCTTATCTTCACGCTGCAACCACCAGGACTTTTTTTTTTTTTTCTTTAAGAAGGCGACTGCCATGATTGCTTCTGTGTCACAGTCCTTAGGATTATCATACAGAGCGTAAGTGATGACAAACACGCTATTATAAGCAGGATAAATAAGAATCAGGCAGAAAGACAACAATAACACGGTATGAATTACCATTTTAAAAAGGTCAGATCTCGGAGCCTCAAAGAGCAGGAGAGTTGGGACACAGACAAAGCAATGCAGACAGAGACCTACTTGGTCAGAATGTTCTGGAGGCATGGCTTTTTAGGGACCAGCCGACACCTTCTCTAGCTGTTTACAGATGCTCTGTTTGTGTAAAGTACAGTGAAAAATAACAATTTGAATGTTTCGATTATCTTTCCCGGTCCCTTCCATTTTCGTTATTTATTTCCTATAAATCGGGACCTTGCTGAGCATAATTCTGCAGACAAGGAGGTGGATGGGACAGCCGATGGGAACGAGGAGACAGATGATGGGTGCGTGCAAGATAGATGCTATGCATTTATGAAAAGGAGAGGCGTCTGCAACGAGCGTCCACAAAGTAGAGCAGGCAAGCACGCAAACTCTAAGCGCCTTTTATGGATGGCAAAGGTGTAAGGAAGACTTGGGAACAGGCATGGAGAGCCTACCCTCCTGGAATCCACGTCCAAGTTCTGCCTAAGAGGTCCCACGCTTGCTGTGGCTCCCGGTGAACCTCACAAGCCTTTCCATGACAACAGACGGGATTTCACAGCCAGAAGACTTGAGAGGTCAATAGTTGAAAAGCAAGAGTTAGAGAGAGAGATCTTTATCCACAGCCAAACAATCCCACAACCCTCCCCATACCACAGAAGAAAAAAATTTAAAGACGCAGTAGAAAAAAAAAAAAAGGAACCTTTCTAAAAATGCAAGTTTAAAATGTTTATGCTCTTGCCTCAGCCTAGTTGCACCTAAGAATCTGCCATTTCATAAATAAAATACGGATGGCACAGACTATAATTTGGTGATAGCTACCCCAGGACATATCTAGATGCATTTCTGTTATTTTAATTAAATACTGCATTATGGTTTGTGACAACCACGCAGCTACGGCGTAAATGAATTCCGAATTAAAGTGTTACTTAGGCATCCAGTAATTTTTGTTTCAGTCCTCAGTTTTACAAAGCAAATAGCTATAAAATCAAGATGTTCATTCATTTACAGATGGAGGAGGGTTGCTGTTGCTGGTTGTTTTTTTTTTTTCCCTTCTCCTTAATCCTCATGCACGAAAGGAATCTGACTCCCGACACTCTCAGCTTATGAACCACATCACAAAGAAAAACACATCCTCTCGACTAGAATGTGAAATGCTGAATATTAATTGCTGGTATTATGCTTATCTTTGCAGCCAAGTTCTGTCTTTTAACAGTCATCCTGATGGGCTGCTGCCTTGGATTGCCAGGAGAGTCTTTGTTGAGCCGTTAGGAACCTATTTGCTTTCATTTTCTTGAGAAAGAATTATAAAGTTCATAAATGCTTCGTGGAAGTTTCTAGATTTGAGACTCCTCCCAAACATGGGATATTAGGAAGGACAGAGAAACTCTTGTATCTCTGTGTTTAAAAAAATGTTGTATCTCTTTTAAGAAAAAATATCTTTTAAAATTTAACTATATTACCATTTCCTTAATGAACTGGAGATATAATTTGATATCACCAATTGGTTGTAGTTTAAACATCACTTAATTGGTAAATTAGGAGAAAAGTTTGGAATTTTTTCATTTATCAATTGAGTTTCACTCAAATTTTCTCATTTGAGCTTTACTCAAAATTAATATAATTGGGCAAAAGGATTTTTTTTGTTTAAATCTGAGGATTTGTCTTTAATATGCCCTGACATATGAAAAATTTTAAGATAGCAAGTTTCCTGAACACATCATTTATTATTTCTGTTTGGAGAATCAATATGATCTTTTAATTAGCGTTAACTATCATACGTCTATGGATACCATCAGCTTCCTGTGTTCTCACCAGTCGCCTCAAATCTCCTATAATGAACCCTACAACTTTGACAGAAATTACTGCTCTGCATGTTTGCAATGAGGCTATAATGCGCTTCAATATTTTTTGAGTTTGGTTAGAGGGCTGGATCCATACGATATCAAGAAACCCGGGCAGGAGAGGTTGAAGGAGGCCGAGTTCCTTCTCAGAACATAATGACACAGAAACAAAGCTTTGGTGACTCCTTTTCAATAGGGCATGGCGCTGAAATGTCATCCAGCCTCTCTGGCAGATTAGTAAGGAGTTTCTTACTAAATCTCTGTCTAATAGACACGCAGCTGACTCTGGAGGAGCTGCTGGTTACAGTCCTGGTGGCAGGAAATGGAGGAATGCCACAGTTAAAGACACAAATTTTCCCTGTAATATATTCCAACGGAAACCTCGGAATCCAATACTACATGGGCATATCTAATAAATTCACAATATTTCAGTCTCAACAGCCTTCACCGGTTAGTTTTAAAGATTTATGTGGTAAAAAATTACTCAGTGATGAATATGGTTTATTCTGTGCAGTATTGGAGGTATAAGGAATTAAACTGCCGTCTTTAACAGTGAATTTATTATTACCTCTGTCAAAAGACGAAGCCTTTAACAGCATTTGTTACAAATTCACTACAAAATAAATGGCTGGATTCTTTTTTTTTTTTTTAACACTGGAGTTTGTAAAGCATCAGGCATTTCTGAGATTAACCTAAGTCCACCATGGCTTAGATGGTTCTATGTAAACATCTGGTGTGGGACTTTCCACCTGACTGGCGGGTGTGTGTGTGTGTGTGTGTGTGTGTGTGTGTGTGTGTGTGTGTGTTTTGAAAGTGAAAGGTCCTGACTAGGACAACAGTATAGAAATAAGGAGATTAAAGAGAAAAAGTGCAGTTGAATCCCCTCTCTCTCTTTTAAAAAGGTTTTTTATAATAAAGAGTGGGGATTCAATGGGATAGTGCTGGTGTGCAGTTGGGCCCCTTGTTAGTGGGCGTGTGTGCATACATATGCACACACAAACACCCTCTCCCTTTGTCCTCTCTTGGAATGGGTATCCCCTCATTTATAAAAATTACCTGGAAGGAATGAGGCTGCCAGGGTTTGTTCTAGACGATTGGTTCCTGTCTGGGGGAAAGGAATGGCCTCGACTGGATTTGACCGGTGTGTGACCGTTGCCTCCCAGCTGACCCCAAATCCCATTCCCATCCTCCTAATGCTAGCCTCCCATAGGGGTTATTAATGAGAGAAAATACCATCATCATCATCATCTTCGTCATCACAGCACGGTGTTGACCTGCTTGTTAACATGAAATGGGGTGGTGGGGACACCTTCTGCCTTTCTCCCGTACCATTATAAATACGAAAAGATATTTTCTGGTGGTGTACCCCTGTCTCCCGCTTTGGTTAGGTCAGAGGTGAGTAAGAGTTCTTTGACAGGCATTGATCAGTTTCATCACACTGTTTGGGCAGTCTGCGCCCGCCCCAGGCCTGTGTTCCCCCGCCTCTCCTCCCCAATTACCTCCCAAATAACCTCGGCACATCCCCCACTCAGTCAGGCAGAGGGTATGGCGCCTGAGGAAGTCCTGAATGGACACTAGATGTCACCAAACACCTCTTTTCCCTCAGAGCCCTGGAATTAAAAATAAATAAGTAAATAAATAAATAAATAAAACCCTCCATTTAAAGCAATTGAGGGGATTAACTTATTGGTTTTTATGAGTGTTGCTGTCACATTCAACTAAACACACCTAAAAGAGGAAGTGTCATTGTGTTCTGATTTAAAAGAGAAAATATCGAGCTCTCCTAGAGAGGAAGGAAGGGCTCAAGAGAGGAGAACGGTCTGTATTGTTGAGTAGTCTTTCGAGGAGGTAGGGGGAAAAACTGTTTTGTTTTTTGAAATTCCATTACAACAGGCACGAGGTTACCACAGCTCCAGTGTGGCGGGCCAGGCCCTGCCGAATTCAGACGGCCGGAGCCGGAGACGGCTGTCCCATCCCAGGTGGCAAAATGACGGTATCCTGGTTCATCTAAAGTCCGGACACCTACATCATGTGCCTGCCCCATGATAAACTGTTCCCACCATCCAGGAAGACAGGCCAAAGTCTGGCATGGTGGAGCCATGAAAAGTCCTTCCTGTTCCGGCCAACCTATCATGTAAGCGTCAACCTTAAGGGACGTCCGACTTGTTACTCCAATGCTGATTTCCAATTGAATAAGACCCTGGGCAAGGCCTTAGAGACTCTGACACCCATGGGTGATGGACACAACTGGAGCCCCAGAGATGCAGCCAAGTGACTCAGTTTACCAGTTCACAGTGTCAGGGGTGGGTTCTTCTATCCAGTTTTTTTTTTTTTTTTTTTTTCCAGAGCTGAGGACCGAACCCAGGGCCTTGTGCTTGCTAGGCAAGCGCTCTACCACTGAGCTAAGTCCCCAACCCCATATCCAGTTTTAACTAATTTTTTTTTTTTAAAGATTTACTTTATTTAATGTGCACAGGTGTTTTGATTGTATATATGCTGTGTGAAGGTATCAGATCCCCTGGAACTGGAGTTATAGACACTTGTGAGCTGACATGTGGGTGCTGGGAATTGAACCCAGGTCCTCTGGAAGAGCAGTCGGTGTTCTTAACCACTGAGCCATCTCTCCAGCCCCCTAGTTAACTAAGTTTCTCTTTGCGTTTTTTTGAGACAGTCTCAATATGTGGGCATTCAGTTCTGTGATATTTCAAGCAGCAAAAGAAACACCTATATTATTTAGAGGAAATGTTCTCTAGGGAGAGACCTTGCTGGGGGGAAGTCAGGTCGCTTCTCTGAAAAGGGACTTGTGACCTCTCTTATCCAGATAGGAGCATCTTTATTTTTATTTATTTATTAGTTTTCGAGACAGCGTTTCTCTATGTATCCCTGGCTGTCCTGGAACTCGTGTAGACCAGGCTGGCCTTGAACTCACAGAGATCCACCCGCCTCTGCTTCCTGAGTGCTGGGATTAAAGGCGTGGGCCACCGCCGCTGCCCGGCCAGATAGAGGCATTTTACTTCCTTTCTTCCCCACGGACAATAAGTGACTGTAGTGGGACTGGTCCACAGAAGGGCCTTGCTGTCCTCCGAGAGAGGGAGGTGAGCCAGGGCAAGGTGTCACCGCACTGAGGGCGATTGGGCACCTGCCCTGTCATGCCTGCTGCTCAGACAGAATGGATTTTTGGAGTACACCTGTTGTTGAACCCCTGCCAGGTACTGATGGCCACTAACCCCCCCCCCCCCCCCCCCCCCCCCGATCGCTTTCCCCCGCTGTTGACGCTTGGAATGTTAGACAGGACCGAGCAGCAGCCGGCGTGTATTTCAAACACAGCAGATGGATTTTTATATTAGCTCCTATTTCATGTTCAGGCAGAGCGACCGCCTCGCTACAACCGCAGCCTCCGTGCTGCCGAGTTCGCTTCTGTGAGATTAATTCTGTGAAATTAATTGGGACAAGATTGAAAAGGAAATTAAAATGCAGCTGAGTGAACAGGCCTCTCCAACACCTTTTCCCTGCTCGATTCAAACTTGGATTCTGCGGTGGTCGCTGGCATCGTGGGAAGTAATTTACGAGAGGCAGGCTCTCAGGAGTGATCCGTTACGTCTGAGAAGACCTGCACCAGCGCCACAATCTGGAGCCACTGAAGAGCGTTAAACACCCTGCTGTGGCTTGAGCGGTGCCCCGGCTCCTGGGTGGGTAGGTGGGTGAGTGGGTGGGTGGGGGGGCAGGGAGGAAGGGAGTTACTAGAAAAAAAAAAAAGCCGTTCAGAAATATCCGGGCCCAAACGGGGTGCGCGAGCATCCGTTGGATGTTCACATCCGCTTCGTTATTAAAATCTGCCTCTAATATATTTTAAGACCCAAATTGGAAGCCAGTGAGTTAAGTGTGGTATGAAGCTGCATGGGGCCACGGATGTTCGGATGTGCTGAGCCACGGCCAGCAGGAGGGCTTTCTGCTGACTGGGTCCTTGCTACGGCTGTGAGATGGGGTGCGTGGCTCTGGCCTCTTCTGGAAGGTTCTTCCTGGTGTCAGTGATGAGATTTCTAAACCACAGAAGACACGGTGGGTTTCCATGTAGGCCTCTTCACTGGGTAGTGTTCTTACCCAAGTGAGAGAACTTTGTGCCTCAACTGACGGAGCTTCTGAGGAATGCTTGGTATATGAACCACTTTTTTCATTAAAAAAAAAAAAAGATTGGAGCTACATTTATTTCTATGTGTGTGCGCAAGTGATGCCGCAGCTTGTGTTTGTGTGTGTGGAGCTCAGAGTTCGGAGTTGGTTCTTTCTTTCTGCCATGTGGGTCCCGGGGATAAAACTCAAGTAGGAGGCTTGGTGGCAGGCACCTTTACACACTGAACCATATTGGTGGCCCTCATTTTGCTCTTACCTTACCAAAAATTCATTGAACTCATATAGATGCCCAACACCCATAGTTTTAGTGTAGTGTTAGCGGAAGGCAGAGAAGGACATACGAGTTGTAGTTCATTAAGGGCTATATCTTCACATGCATTCTCTGGCCACAACCCTACGAACAGAAACTATCCTACTTTTTACAGGTAAGGACATTAAAGTCTGAAAGTTTAAGTGACTCTTTCCAAGGTCACATAAATAACCTGCCTGAGAACAGGATAGATGATAGGCATTTGGTCAACTATGGAGTGCAGTTCCCTATCTATCTATCTATCTATCTATCTATCTATCTATCTATCCTCTCTCTCTCTTTCTCTTTTCTCTCTCTCTCTCTCTCTCTCTCTCTCTCTCTCTCTCTCTCTCTCACACACACACACACACACACACACACACACACACACACATCTATCTCTCTATCTATCTATGGGGCAGAGACATGGGTCAGTGGTTCAGAGCACTGGCTACTGTTCCAGAGGACTTGAGTTCAATGCCCAGGACCCACAACCATCTAGTTCCAGAGAACCCAAAGCCCTCTTCTGGTCTCTGAGGACACAGGCATACATACAGGCAAAACAATACATAGTAAATAAAAAAACAACAACAAACAAATCCCCCAAACCCAGCAGGGAGCAGCAGGGGCCCAGAACTAAAGGCTGATATTTTTCTGCTCCTGTCTGCTTATACCCCTTCCAGGCCCTGCGGCTCTTTCCTCCAGACACTCTTTCCAGAGTCTTTTCTCCCCTCAAACGCCTATATTTTTGGAGACAGGGTTTCTTTATTATGTAGCCCTGGCTGCCCTGGAACTCAAAATGTAGACTGGCCTCAAACTCACAGAGATTTGCCTGTCTCTGCTTCCCAAGTGCTGGGATTATATGAGCATGCCATCATACTCAGCCCAGTATTTCTTTAATAAAGGGGTTTAGCTTGGTAGTGGAATATCCATGGCCTAGCATGCAGAAGGCCCTAGATTTGATCTTTAGCATCATAACTTTTACTCAGAGAGGGATAAACCAGCTGCACCTATGGGGGTGAAGACAAAACAGGCGGCAGTTGGAATGTCTGCTGTTTAAATGGAGCAAGTAATCCAAGTTAAGAGAGAGTTCTGTGCGGATTTCCTGTGCAGCTTTGCAGCATCAGGCCCACTGTGTTTGGAATGGGAATATTTAGGGTGGGAGAAACGACTCCCTCATTTTACAGGTGAGGGAACACGTCCAGGTGAGCTGAGGGGTATAGCTGTGCCATCCATTTCCCAGGGAAACAGACATCTGCCAGTTTCTAGACAGAGGCTTCTCTTGTCCAGCAAAGGTGCTGCTGCTGGCCTTGGGAGCAAAGGAATATGAAGTTCTCCAGACATCATTTTCTTGGACCAAACTTAATTTGGGTTATTTTGTTCTCTTGCTCCAGCTATGAGAGGTCGGCTGGTTCCAGAAAAGGAGGCCAGCTGGGGCTGAAGTGGGATGACTATGAGAGACAGTTCCGGAGAACAGGGACTGGCCGAACTTCTGGATGGTACTGGAATCTCCTATCTGTAGGAATTGGTTTGTTTGTGCTTTTTGGAGACAAGCAAATAGGATGGGAGGTCTTTTAAGGTTCTTTCCTGTCCAAGGGCTCTGATTGAGTTAGGTAATAGAATCAAGGCAAATCCAATCCCAGATGCCCCCCAAGCCGACGTTAAACCGGAATGCAGCTTCGTAAAGGAACGTTCCTGAACGGCCACCTTCTCATTTCCTCCTCTGATTTGCAGGGATTAGCAACATGAGGAAGGGAGGCACCTGGTACAGTTTCGGGGGCAGAAATACTAATGGACTTAGAACCTTCCGGAACAGTGGAGAAAGAAGCTGATAGAATTAAGCCAGCGAGGCATTTTCACTGAATTAAACTCCACGCATTAGCATGTAGTCATGGGGGGAGGGGGGACAGAGGTTGATTTTAAAAGACCAGTCTAAGGTTCTTAGGCATCTCACAGAAATACCACAGCCATGGTAACCGCACACCATTCTATATTGCGGGACAGGTCACTGCACAGCCCCTTAGATCTAACTGGAGGAATGGGACCCCCAGTGAGAAGCCATTAACAAAGGCAAAAGACATGTAAAACAAACAAAATAATCATGACGGAGAGAGAAGGCCAGCCGCCAGGCTGGCTCTGCACCCCCCTCCTGCTGCAGGCACCTCCAGACAATGTAAACAGTTAATTTGTTCACCTGCAGGCTCTGGGCAAACAGAGGCCTGGTCACACCTGAGTGGATAACTCGATTACCCCGTAATGCCAGCACGGTAATGTACACAAATTCGATTACACGGCAAACCTTGCTTTCGGGCATTTGAAATACCAATCAGGCCAATGTCCACTCCCTTCTTCGCTTCCAATTTATTCTTGGTGTATTGGAGCTGCACCGAAATTGTAGTAGGGTGGTGCTGAGTTAGAACGGCAGGGGAAATCACAAGAACATTGTGATCTCACCCAGCAGGGGCTGCAAAGCTCTCACCTTCCTTCAAAGGGCTAGGTCTGAATTTAGTGTCGTCCCCCCCCCCCCGGCCCCCCCAGACAGGGTTTCTCTGTGTAACAGCTCTAGTTGTCCTGGAACTTGCTCTGTAGACCAGGTTGGCCTCAAACTCACAGAGATCCGCCTGCCTCTGCCTCCTGAGTCCTGGGATTACAGGTATGCCCCACCACCACCTGGCTAGTTCTTTGTTTAAAGGGGCCTGATTCATTGGAATCACTGGAAGACACCTAGGGTCAGACTTGGTCTGTTCATTTTTTATTAATTTTGATTGATTGATTGATAGGTTGATTGTATATGCCTCAGTGCACCTGTGGAGGTCAGAGGACAACTTGTGGGAGTCATTTCTCTCTTTCCACCGTATCTCTGGGATTGAACTCAAGTCTTTGGCCTTGGCAGCAAGTGCCTTTACTCACTGAGCCATTTTGTCCACTCCTTGGTCTGTTCTAAAGGAGCTTATTTCAAGCACAAACAGATCCTTGGGGTAAGTAGTACCAGTCATAGAATAAAGTGGGTTTTCTCTTTTCCTTCATGAAGTTCACATACTCAGCAATTAAAGAGCAAAGTATGCCTACTTCAAAACCGTGTTTGTAGATATGGATGGGATACATAGAGACTTTATGATAAAGTCTCTTAGGAACAGAACATGTTGTCTTAGTCTGGCTATATAATATGTGTGGTCTTTGCTGTTTGTTTGCTTTCTACAAGGGTGATGATGAATAGTTCCCTCAAACTGTAGCCTACTACTCTGGAAGATTCTCCTCATTATGATAGACAGGCAATAATCCATCCCTTAAAAAAAAAAAAAGTCCTGTTGCTATACAACCAACAACAGTCTGTATTAGCTGTGTCTAGGGGTGAACTTATGCCCGAGGAAGAGAATGAAGTTAGCTGGGCTGTGTGGGATTGGATTCAGTAGGTTGGTCTTATCAGCACTGGCTCAGACCAATTGTGCTAACTGGTTCTGACTCCTCCTCCCACAGGTAATTATATTATCATCTCATTTATCTATAAATGAATAAGAAGCTAGTTTACCTAGCCAGAATGTTTTCAATAGCATTACAAAGTAATAAATTATGTACATAGTGTAACCTTCATGTATCATAAGTCCTTGGAAAACATTAAAATTTTGATTGGCATAATTTTAGTATTGTATCTATTTATCTATCTGTCTGTCTATCTATCTATTTAAATTTGCTTCATTGTATTTTTAAAGGTGAAAAAATGATTCCTGGGCCTGAATTTTTTTTTTTTTTTTTTTTTTTTTGGTTTTTTGAGACAGGGTTTCTCTGTGTAGTTTTGCGCCTTTCCTGGAACTCACTTGGTAGCCCAGGCTGGCCTCGAACTCACAGAGATC